AGGGCAGTGATGGCTAACCTTTTTGCCATCACGTGCCAAAAGTGGGGGGAGTGCGGGGTGGTCGCGTGCGTGTGTGCCCATACCCATAATTTTATATGCCCTGCACCCCACACATGCGTGCATGGCCCCCCGTGGTCCCCCCACTTTTGGCATGTGTTGGCACGGTGGACCTGGTAAGCCCATTTTTCACCCTCCCCAGGCTCCAGAGGCTTTCTAGGAGTCTGAGGAGGGTGAAAACAGCATTCCCCACCCTCCTGGCCCATTTGCCGACTTCCGGTGGGCCCAGAAGGCCCAAAAATCAGCTGGCCAGCACACACATGCGTGCTGGAGCTGAGCTAGGGCAACGCTGGCGTGCCCACCAATATGGCTCCGTGTGCCATCTTTGGCACGCGTGCCATAGGTTCGCCATCACGGGTATAGGGTCTCCTGCTTGATGGGGGGGTTGATTAGATGGCCTATAAGATTCCTTCAATTCTGTTAATTTGTTAACTTCTTCAGTTCTGAATGAATGGTGAAGAAGGGAAATATTTATATTCCTTGCAGTCATCTGGTTATTAGCACTCTCTCTGAGAGTCGTTGAGGCAACTTGGAGGTTTATCTGTGCCCTCAGGGTCACCTGAATAGTGCAAATTGGTGTGGAACTGTGGAATTTGGAACTGCTGAAAGGACTGTGTTGTAAATAGGAGAGAGTTTGTGTCCTATCCCTCCCCCTCTGTTGAGAGAGGGCTATTCATTCTTAATGTAAATGGCCTCTTTGACCCCTCTTTCAAACCAGAAAGAGTGCTAACAGCCAGATGACTGCAAGGAATGTAACTTTGCAGCCTTTTCTAAGCCAATTCTAAGAGCCATGGTGGCATAGTGGTTAGAATGCAGTACTGCAGGGCTAATTCACTGCTCACTCCAGGAGTTCAATTCTGAGTGGCTCAAGGTTGTCTCAGCCTTCCATCCTTCCGAGGTCAGTAAAATGAGGGCCCAAATTGTTGGAGGCAATAGGCTGACTTTATAAACCACTTAGAGAGGGCTATAAAGCATTGTGAAGCAGAGTTGTGACCCAGGCCCAATTAAGTAGTAGGAAAATCAGTCAGTGAAAAAACAAACAAACTTTATTCAAACAGCTGAGAATTACTTCATTCCCAGTGTCGTTCAACTAAATTAAAGCAAATTCCTCCCAACACAAATTCCTCAGTCCTATCGCAAACCTTGGTCCAATTAGGCAAACTGCCAAAGGCCTTTCTTGGCAAACGTTCAGAAGTCACAGTTACAAAAGTAAATACAAGACGTAGACGAAGAAAAAGACGAAGCTACCAACGTTGTTTTCCAGCATAGCCGAAACACCATTGCTGCTCTGTTTTAAGCCTTATGGGAGGGGCTAATCATCTCTTGGACCTACTCCCGAGTTGTCCTCTTTGCTTGAGCTGCTCTTGCCTTCTGGCAGCTCTTCTCATGCGTGCATTAGGAACAGGCTCCTCCTATTCCTCTGCCTCACTCCTATCAGTCTCTGGAGGCTCTGGAGTCCACACTTCACTCCCCGATGGCCCTGGCCCCATCTCTGCCTCTGACGTAGAGCCCTCATCTGGGCCTTCCCCAGCCTCCAGGACTGCCCCATGTTCTTCCTCAGCCTCATCGCTGTCCAACTCTGCTGCCAGCTCCACAGGGTGCTGGCTGACCACAACAAGCCGTATATAAGTCTAAGCAATATAAGCTATTGCTTCCATTCTCCACCACTCATTCTGAACTGAAGAAGCTTCTTGGATGAAAATGAAATGTCTTCAAGCAAAGAACAAAATGTAGTTGCCTTTTGAAAAAATACTTTTGGGATCCTCCACCACATTTGAAGGCAGCCACCAGCTTAAGGGACAATACTTTGCCATCACCTCCTGGTATCTGCTGCCTGAAGCAATTACCACACTGCTTCATGCTAGGACATGAAGTTGAAATAAGCCATGGGCAAGAACAATTGCTGACTAAATTGCTTAACTTGAGCATCACAATGAGAAGAGCACAACAATTTTCAAGTTGAAGCTTTGGGGAACCATATTTGATTTAATTAAGAAAAATGATTTGATCCAGAATTGATTATTTGACTCAAATCATTGAATTCAACTGATTTCATTAAAAAAGGTCAATTATTAAAGGCAGGGCTTTTTTTTCATGAGGCATTCAAAATCAATCAATTGATTTGAGGGCATCCAATTCAATCCAAATTGGCGGTTAATTTGGAGTTTCAATTAAAACATCTTTGAACTGCATCTGCAAATCAAATCTTTGCATAGTCCTATTGTCAAAAAAAACAAAAACAAACCCAAAATCCAAACATCTCCAATCTGACTCAATATTTAAATTTTTTTATTTATTATTAAATTTATTATTATTTTTTATTAAGAAATAGAGTATCAAGCAAAGTAGAGCCCAAAGCTTTATTAGCTACTGTATATTGTCAGGAAGTAAGAAGTTAATATACAGAATCTTAGAAACTGAATAAAGCAAAACTCTGGAACTCATTTATGAGATAATTCATTAAGCTAACTATCTAAGATTCTGAGTTTAAGTACTATATTGCCTCTCTCAAAACAGGACTAAAAAGCTAACCATCTTTTTTTCTAATAAGATAGATCTTGACATATTCTGCTTGCAGTTAACGTATTAAGATACTTCATTTCTTTCCTAGCCTTAACCTCTGAGATCTCTTTTACATACGATATTATCAAAACAAGCAAATAAACTTATTGTTCACCTCTTACCTAAATTGTCATCCCATCAAAGGTTACTGCAATAGCTGCTGTTAGGAAGTTATTTGGCTGTCCTTAGTTTTAAGAATCTCACAATCTTTAAGGTAGAATAAAGCCCTATTTTCAGTTACCCTAGTAACTTCACTCTCCAGTTGTTAATAAAAAGCCACCTTCATATAACATCTTTAATCATATCTGGCAAAACCCAGCAGAAACTTCACAATGCATGCTAAGCTTGATTTATATTTGTTAAGTTTTGTGTGTGTGTGTGTATGATTTGGTTTTGTGAACACAAACCATCCGGCACAAGCTATTGTGCAAATCCAGAAAAGGGTTTAAATCAGTAATCAGGTAACAATGTTCTGTCAATACAGCCATAATACATGTAGTCCTTGACTTATGACCACAATTAAGCCCCAAACATCAGTTATTAAGTGCAACAGTTGTTGAGTGAGTTTTGCTTCATTTTAAGACCTTTCTTGTGACAGTTGTTAAGTTAGTAACATGGTTGTAAAGTGAATCTGACTTCCCCATTGCCCTTGCTTGTCAGAAGGTCACAAAAGATGTTCACATGGGACACTGCAACCGACATAAATATGAACCAGTTGCCATATTGCATGCTTTGACAGCAGCAAGAATTGTTTATGCACAATACTGGAAAAATGAGGAAACGCCCACAGAAGATGATGTAATTAAAAAAAATTAGTTTGTGCAAAAATGGATAGATTGACATTAAAAATTAAAAAAAGAAGACACAGAACATGGGACTTATTTTATAAATGGTTGGACAGTAGAGGTAGAAATTAGGAGTGGGAAGAGTATTATTGCATAAAAATAAGTTCATCTAAACCCGTGATGGCAAACCTAGGGCACGCGTGCCACAGGTGGCACACGGAGCTATATCAGTATGCACACGAGGGTTGTCCTAGCTCAACTCCGATGTACATGTGCACGCCAGCCAGCTGATTTTCGGGTCTTCCAGACCCACCGGAGTCTTTCTGGAGCCTGGGGAAGGTGAAAACGGCCTTCCCTCCCCCTCCCCCGGAGGCCCTCCGAAGGATGGAAACGGCCCATTTGCTGACTTCTAGTGGGTCTGGAAGTCCCATTTTTTGCTCTCCCCAGGCTCCAGAGGCTTTCTAGGAGCCTGGGGAGGGTGAAAACGGCCTTCCCACCCCCACCCCCGGAGGCCCTCTGGAGACTGAAAACGGCCTGTTTGCTGACTTCAGAATGTGGGGGGGGCGCATTGAATTATGGGTGTGGGCACACGCATGTGTGACCCCTCACGACCCCCCACTTTTGGCACGCAACGGCAAAAAGGTTAGCCGTCACTGATCTAGACAATACACTGTTCATTAAGCACTTAATAATAATAACTTTATTGTCATTGTACGTGTATACACATTCACATTCACGAAATTCACTTAACACCCAAAGACCAGGTCCAACACACATAACTATCCCCAAACACCCCCACCACCCACCACAAATTCCCCAGCCCTAAATCACCCAAACATCCACACAACAGACCAAGTAATGCTGTCCAACAACTCACTGATGGTGGCCCTTTATTGGTTCATTGTTGAGTGCAATTATAGCTCTGGGATAAAAAACTGTTCAGAAAACGTGTGGTCCGAGTTTTTTTTTTTATTTATTTATTTATTTATTTATTTATTAATTACTTATGTATGCAATATGAAAATAAATATAAATAAACTGGCTTTTTTTAAAAAAAATGAACCAGTTGCCAAACATCTGAATTTTTTTTTAAAAAAATAGTCTTTATTTACATTTTCCATTAAAAAGAGAACACACAAAAAAAAGAACAACACACCATATAAATAACATACAAGACAACGTAACAAATAATAAACATATCTGCAAGTACATTATATTCCGAGGGAGACAGAACGACTTATCTCTCTTTATACATCTCCAAACATCTGAATTTTGATCACCTGACTATGGAGAGAGGCTGCAATGGTCGTAAATGTGAAAACTGATCATAATTCACTTCTTTCAGTGACATTGTAACTCTTACTATGAACTATTGTATGTCTGTATCTATCTGTATCTGCTATAATACAGACTAAACCATAAACGTTTGCTTAAAAACTGGTCAACTGGCAATTTTTACAGCTTTACACACCTATTTTCAGTTGGCATAAACGGGGAGCTGCCTTAGGATTTCAGATTTTATTAACTGTATTCATTTTGACCACCATAGGTGAATAAACTTGGACTTCACAAAGAGCAATGAAGGAATGAACTAACCTGGATCGCTGATGAATTCATTCAAGGTTTGCCAGCTCTTCTCATCTGAAGCAAAGGTGCCGTTAAAGGATTCGAACTCTGTGTAGTCTCGGACACACTTGTTCCTGAGGTTACCCATGAACAGCTGGAGTCCTATGAGGGCGAAAACACTCAAGCAAAAAACGGTCAGGATCATCACATCTGCAAGTTTCCTAACTGACTGGATGAGGGCTCCAACGATGGTCTTCAAACCTAAGGAGACAACCATGAAGAGTTTAAGAGGCTAGCAGGTGAAAGCAGCCAACCATATGAATTACACGTATAGGTGGTCCTCGACTTACGACCAGAATTGAGCCCAAAACTTCTGCTGTTAAGCGAGACATTTCTTAAGTGAGTTCTGCCTCGTTTTACGACCTTTCTCGCCATGCTTGTTAAGTAAGCCACGGCCATTGTTAAGCTAATAACACGGTTTTTAAGTGAATCTGGCTTCCCCACTGTCGGTCTGAAGGTCGCAAAAGGGGATCACATGACCTGGGGACACAACAACGGTCATAAGTATGAACCGGTGGCCAAGCCTCTGGATTATGATCACGTGACCCGGGGGATGCTGCAAAGGTTGTAACTGTGAAAAATGGTCATAAGTCACTTTGTAACTTTGTAATGTAAGTCGAAGATTATCTATACATGAATCAAACTTCAAGCCACTATAAGACATCGTTAATATATTTAAATTCAATAGTTGGAGCCATTGAGCCAAAAACCACCGTTAAGAGTTGATTGATGGGAGAGGGCTGGCTCCTGCGTGAGGCAATCTGCGCTGTGATTGGTTGCTGTGGGTGTAGAGGGGGGAGTTTCCCTTTTTTCCCGCCTTTTTTTCTTCTGTGGGAGCTGCGATTTACCTCATGATGCTCCTCTTTCCCTGACTATCTTGTTCGCGGCGTATATTGATGTAAAATATTCTTATTTAGATAAAACAACAAGTTCGTGTCAGCGTCTCTGACTTCATTTGGATACCTGCTGTGCCATTCCCTGACATCCCAAACATTTCCCACTTTCAAGTCTACGATATAGATAGTATGGCTGTGCAATGTTTCAGATTCAAAGGCAATACAGCGCCTCAAAAGATGTGGGACCAAAACATAGCACCTGTCTGCAATTCTTTTACGCAGCTGCATTTTCCCCTATGACTGCACAAGAGCAAAAGAAATCCCCAATAAAACAATTCCCAAACACTATCACTACCAATGAAAGATTTCAAGTGCCTAGCCCAGGCAAAACACGTTGAAATTATGGCAATGGAAAACAGTACAACAAAAGTAGGTGAGGAATATCATAGCCTTATGATTGACTGGCACTGGGTTTTGTTTTGTTTTTAGTTCTTCAAAGTGATGGCCCAAAGGTGCTTTTTCAAAAGGCAACTGGGCTTTCTTTGTTTTTCTTGAAGACGTTTCGCTTCTCATCCAAGAAGCTTCTTCAGTTCTGAAGTCAGAGCTGAAGAAGCTTCTTGGATGAGAAGCGAAACGTCTTCAAGGAAAAACAAAGAAAGCCCAGTTGCCTTTTGAAAAAGCACCTTTGGGACAACCATGACCTGGATGACTATGGAAAATCTCCACAGACATTCTTCCATTAACTGGCTCTCATCGTTAAAAGTAGTTTCTGCATATCTGCAGAAACCACTTCCATTAAAGCTAAGGAACCAATTAAGATGGCCCAGCCCTGCTTTAATGCTCTTCAGAACGAACTTGGTAGATTACCTTGCTTTAACTTAGGTGAATTTCTTTGCTAAAGAAAGTCCACCGGCTTAGTGGCTATTTATATCTATTAATCAATTTTGCCTTGTATTCCTGACCTATTTCAAAGAAGATAAAAGATAAGAAAATGGCATTTTGGAATTCCTTTCTGATTTTTTTTTTCCCCAGACAAATCCTAGAAACATGAAGAGTTGCAATTCTGGATCGGCAGAATTTCACAATTCGGTGTTCGAGGTAAATACTGAATTTATTCATTTTGCTTTTAATTGACTTTTAATTTTTTTTAATGTGGTCTTTTTATCTGTTTCTTAAAATGCTTGTTTCTATATACTGTATATATTGTTCTTCGCTTCATTTATTTATTTATATTTCCTATTTCTAAACCACCCACTTCCCTCAGAGGGGTGCTCTGGGATGGTATACAATATAATCAATAAATAAACAACATATAAAGTTAACATTAAAAGTCATTATTATTGAATATTATTATTAATCATTTTACGCCACCCAGAATCACTTCTTATGAGTGAGAACATACATTTGATAAATAAATAAACAAAGTTTTTGGGGAAAATAATTAACCTTTGAAAATGGTTCTGTTCAGTGCTTGTGAGGGAGAGATCCACAGTGAATTGATCTGGGCTGATCCAAGTCTGGCTATGTGATGGAGAATGACATTTGGTTCTCAAAGCCAAGGTTGATTTATCTACCTATGTTTTTTATAATTCATTGCCACGCACAACTCTTATATTCCTTAAAGCAGAATTCAAAGTGGCAGTTCTGGGGAGAAAAATCTGATTTTCTGAAAATTTGTTGCGGAACATAAAGGGAAAAGATGAATAATGACAGAAGTATGAAGCCAGTTCACTGCAATTAACCATTTTGCTTGTACAGTACAGATAGACCTCGACTTACGACCACAATGGAGACCAAAATTTCCAAAGCTAAGCAAGACAGTTGTTAAATGAGTCATTTTATGACTTTTCTTGCCATAGTTGTTAAGTGAATCACTGCAGTTAAATTAGTAATACAGTTGTTAAGCAAATCTGGCTTTCCCATTGACTTGGCTTGTCAGAAGCTCACAAAAAAGATGATCACATAACTCCAGGACACTGCAAACGTCATAAATATGAACCAGTTGCTAAGTGTCTGAATTTAGTGATCAAGTGATCATGGGGATGCTGTAAAGGTCATAAGCGTGAAAAACAGTCCTTAGTTACTTTTTTCAGTGCCATTATAACTTCTAACACACTAAACAAATGGTTGTAAGTCAAAGACTACCTATATTTATTATCTATTTGTCCCTGTTTTAACTGGTTTTAATTAGGATTTTCCTTCATTATTGTATGTTTTTAACTTGTGTTCGCCACCCTGAGTCCTTTGGGAGAAGGGCAGCATATAAATATTTGTAAACAAACAAACAAACAAACAAACAAATAAATAAATAAATTATCAATCCAATGTCTTATGCATTCCTGGCTCTACAAGTTCCTTTGCAGCTCGTAATGCTGTAAATGAGCCCTTCACAATTTGGTTTAAACAAACATTGACCCATAGTAACCTGGGAATTATAGACAATCATAGGAATTTTGAAAAACTATATTGGATTGAAAATTAAATTTTTCTGTATGTAAGGTACATGCCGTGCTTATGAGTTCTCCTTTTTCTCTGCAATTAGCCTGATTTCTCAAACAGTAGTTAAGCTTAATATACTTAAAACTAAAAAAGAAAGGAAAAAAAAATCAACCTCCCAAAATGCTCATATAAAAAAGTGGGAAAATCCATGAAAACCTGTCACTAAAATAATGAGTATGGCTCACAATCTGCTAAAAGAAAAAAAAAATGCTAGAAGTGTCTTCCCAACCACTGAAAAAACTGTCTTAAAGGATTTTTTTTTTCTTACAGAAGATCACAGCATTAAGGTCACCATAAAAAGCTGCCAGATCAGTTTTCTAATGAATTTTAATTGAACAGCATGAGAATAGAGATGCCAGAATACTTTTTAAGCGGGAATCTTTTCGGATACAATTTCTAAAGTTATGACCAGTTGTGGATTTCTCCTGTTGCAGTTGGTGAAACATGGGCTGGTTTTGTTCTTCAGCCTTGGTAGTTCCTTGCTATTTAACTTTTGGGATATGTAGTGCCAATAAAAAAGAATATTTGCAACTCATGGTTGAACTGAGGGGTCCTTGGTGTTCTCTGAGCTTGATTGTTTTCTTGCAGAAGTTTCATTACCCAACTAGGTAACATCATCAGTGCTAGAAGGAGAGGGGTTTGCTCCTTGTTTATATACTAGTGGTTTGCCCTTTCATTGTTGGAGGCAGTGTTCTTGGTGGTTCCTTAATTAAGCTGTTTTTTACTGTTAGCTTGTTTGTCTCCACTGGTAGTTCCTTGACTGGATATTGTTTACTTCTCTAATGTTAACCTTGGTATTAATCTCTGCTCACCTGAGTACTGAATGCTGGTGAAGTGTTTTGCTCTTTTTGTTTCCTTTTTACCTTTTTGATTGTCTCTTTTGAATGATGTGAAGATGTTGTTTCTATCTGTGTGCCTATTGAAGACTGATTGACCTGAGTGCTAGTTTTCAGGAATTCTCTAGCATTTTTATGAACTTGGAAAAAAAATAAGAGCACCCCCCCTCCCTTCTAGCTGTGATGATGGTACCTAATTTGGTAATGAAACAATGACCACCAAGTTCAGAGAGCACGAAGGACTCTAGAGCGCATGTAGTCTCCAGACTGCCAAGTTTAGCAAATGAAAAAAATGGGCAGATATGTATAAAATTGACGCCATTTTATTTATTTTGAACATCGCCAAGATGGAAATAGAGGAAGATAAACTGGCACCTTTCTCAGCCTGCATTCTGGTCAGGTTTTTTTAATTAACTCCAAATACTAGCAAGATAAATTTCCTATAGGCTAGGGAGGATCTCTAAGCCACATCCATTTCATCCATTAACTTTCCTTGTACATTTTCTCCAGTTTCGGAGGGTAGGAGTAGGAGTAGCAGGATGCAAGAACTGATGTTGGATTGTCCTTTTCAAGATCACACTCCTGTATTTAAGCATGGAATAGAGAATCTGAAAAAAAATTGCATGTGCTAAGATGGTGCTAATGATAGCAGATATTGGAGTAGAGACAGAGAAGCATCAATCTGCAATTAGTTGCCAACTATTAAACTACAAATTATTAGATTGAGCTTCGTCTTGGTTGAACATCAACATTGTTCAAGCCAGGAATAGAATTTCTTACTATAAATCACATAAAAGTGTGCTAATTACCTTTCGTGTCTCCACCTCTATCTCTCCATTTTGCTTAGCCTTCCACCATTAGCGTATTCTCCGCAAAACGAATGTTGTAGAGAAAAGGCTCAAATCTCATAAAGTGGTTTTTGATCAACCTAATCTACCTACAACAAGATTGTTGTTGGTGCAACTGGAGAAAAATGCAGCTGACTTGAACTCACTAGAGTTTTATAAATATTTTCCTTCTTTCTTGAATT